CACACACACACCCCTTGGAGCGGGGAGGGCTGTGCCGCGCTCTGCAGCAGTACAATACAGAGACATGTATCTGGTTTTACCTGTAGCAGAACACCGGTTGCCACGTAGCCTTTAGCGGATTTATCCATAAATTAGACATAAATAAAATAAGCTGTTTGTTTTGTTGTGGCGGCTCCGTTAGCTCTTTTGGGTGAGTTGCATTCTTTCTCACAACCCTTGCGTTACACCACTGACCTGGATAGGGTCATTCTGCCACCCGACGAACCCTAATCCAGGTGGGAGTGGCTCGCACACTTCTGGCAACCGCACTTCCACTCGTACCAAACTCTGACTCAATGTGCCCTAATAAACTCGGGTCAGGGTCGGGGACGTTTTAACAACCTCTCACCACACGTATAAGTTCCGCTCTGATACCAACTGTTACGCTCCTGGTCAACTCCCAATGCGAGTACACACAAAGAGACTCCTCCTTCGCCTTCTTTCTCCCTCTATTCCACCTCCATAGTTTGGTGGACACCTCTGCCTGCTGCCAGGCTGCCTTGCCCTTCTCGTCCCTCACCCTAGCTTAGCAGCTCTCCACCTATGCTGCTGCTTGGTGCTCACCTGCCAAGGTACCAGACTAGCAGCCTGACTGCTGTCAAGTGAGGAAAGAGGAGCAGTTACCACTCCCAAAGATAGACTTCCCAGCCTACCCGGCTACTAGGCCCTACTGCTGCCTTCTCTCTTTGGCGGGAAAATCATTCCAGACTGGTATCCTGTCTACAGGATTTGGACCTGGACTCTTATCGGACTGCATGCAGGCTAGTACCTTCGGCACTTGTCCTCTAGGCTTTCCAGACCTCAGGGAAAATACCTCGGTTTACCGAAAATAGTACTTTTTGTTTTTCTGCCTACCTACCTGGTACCTCCTGATTTTTGCCACTTACCTACCCCTAGCATACTGTAGCCTAACAGCCCTTTACCCGCTGCACAGGCCACCAACATGGCAACAGGGGTTACTACCTGGCACAAACCAACACACATGCAACCACTGTCACGCACACACTGAAGTACTCAGACAGACGGACTGACAAATGGAACACAAGTATCAGCAACCACCACACCAGGAACAGACTCGGACATGCAGGAATCCCAGCAAACACAGGGAACAACTGCAAAAAATCATAACAAAGTTGAAAACACAGGATCCACAGACTGCAATTTTGCAGGTTATTACAACTTTTCTAAGTTTTTATTGAGTAGTTCCGAAGTACTGTTTTGGAACAGTAGTTCCGAAGTACTGTTTTGGAGCAGTAGTTCCGAAGTACTGTTTTGGAAGAGCAGTTCAGAAATATTGTATCCACATAACCTGAGTGGACTTGCATGCAGCTCTTGGGGGAACTACTGGTGTATAAGCAACCCAACAACCAAGCAATGGATGTTCAAGTGAGGGTTGGCTGGCTGATATGGATAGGGCTGCAGTGACACCTACAGTGGGCTCTGGTTGTGTGCAAGCATGGGGTTCAATGCAGACTTGGTGCTTCATGGTTAGTTGGAACCAGGGGTTAAATTTTCAGGTCGGTGGGCAATTCCCTGGGAAGTTGTGGGAACTGATATGTGGCTTGTGCTACACTGTTGGGATGGGGACTCAGGTCATGGATATAATAATTCCAGCTAGTTGTCGGGAAGACCTTGAGGTGGTACCAGTTCTGACTCATGAGGGTGAAGCTGAAGATGAGGGCCAATGGATGTGGTTCCGCTCATGGAAGCGACTTGAGAAGCCTTCGCGAGAGAGTCCCAGTCTCCGCAATTTGGCTGCAACCAGGTGCGCAGCAGTCTGGACGTGTCATTGGCCCTAATACAAGATGGTTTTTGTTTCTTATCTAAATGCTCAAGCCTGAATCGCTTTCTTGAAGTAAGCGTTATAGAATGTGGTATTACATTACTGTAAGTTGTCTGAGGCTGAAGCTGTCTGTGCTCTACATTAGGCGTGTACAGTGCCCATCAAGGTCTTCAACAGTGTGTTATTGATGAGTGCAGTTACCCGAGGGATTGCATCTTCTCCCTGAATGAATTTGGTTTGAGGACTTCTCATGCTGTCTCTGGTACCCACGACCCTAACAGAGACCGACGTTGGCAGATTGTACCTTGCAATCCTCCTTGTTCGCAGCAGTATTGGTTTTGGTCTTGCTATGGTTTGTTTCTTTTTTTCGCTCCTGGCTCTGAATCCATTGGAGGTGAGTGTCAGTCCAGTGACTTGTTCCCTGGCAAGTCATAATAATACAACCTGTTCACACTCACACTTCCTTCCGTTATATTCCTCTCAGACTTGGTTAAGGAATCTGTGTTTTGAAAGGCTGGAAATGTAGATGGAAGCAGGGTTGCATAGCTGCCGACTGCCAACCCCGACCGCCGACCGTGTTGCAGCCAACCAGTAGGGCCGACCGGTCGGCGGTCTGTCGACCAGTCAGAAAACAGTCATCCACTGATTTTTTTTTCACATCTGAGTTGGGGGTTGTACTGTGCTTGCTGAGTACAGCCCAATTTTTTGGGGATTGTGGGGTGTGGTGGTGTTGGGGGGAGGGTATAGGAGGGGTTATAGGGGGTATTGGGGGGGGGGTATGATAGTGTTGGGGGACGGTTTGGGGGTTCTGAGGGGGTGTATGGGGGTATAGGGGGAAGGTATGCGGGTGTTGGTGGGGGGTTATTGGGGGTTTTGGACTCATTTTTTTTATTCTCATTTTTTTTTGCGGGGTGCCGACGACGCCCCTGGATGGAAATGTATTCTGTGATATAGTCCTGTTCGCTTGGTGTTTCCCTTCTGATCATTGCGGCCATCAAAGCTCCTGAAATGAAGCGTGTACATTTGCCTGGTGATGAATGTATGTTCCATACGGCACCTCTGTGCTTTTCATCCCGAATAGGGACTTGAGGCTCCTGCTGATGGTTGCCCAACTGAGCATCTGCCATTGTTGAGTTGTTCCTGTCCTTGTGGATTATGGAATCCTGGAGGGCTGCCACCTTGGCATTCACTAGCCTGCCGCCTTGACGTATCAAAGAGAGTTGTATGCACTTAGACAGGCTTTGGACGGGCGTATACCCTTCTCCATCATTCTGTTGGAGTACAGCGCCAATGCCATATTGGCTTGCATCAATGGTGACGATGAACGAAAGAGACGAATCTGCTATCTTAAGAATCGGGTACTCGACCAAGCACTTCTTTAGCCTCTTGAATGCGGAAGTGCAGTCCTTATCCCACGTCCAAACGGTCTCTTTCTTCAACAGTCTATGCAGCGGTGCAATGATCGTAGTGAAATTGCGTACGGACTTCTGGTAGTGCCTGGCCAGATGAAGGAACGAATGCAGTCCCGTAAGTGTATGCGGGGTCAGCCAGTCCCTAATCGTTGCTATCTTCGCGTCTTCCGGTCTAACTCCATCTCCGTCTACAACATGTCCGAGATACAGCGCTTACCCCATTCACACTTTTTCGGGTTCAACTGGAACTTAACCGTCAGGCAACTTACTCAGAATCAGATGAAGGCGTTCGTGATGTTCTTCTAGCGTCTTACCAAATATCAAAATATCGTTGAGGTAAACAACAACGAACTTGTCTAACCATTCTCTAAAGAGATTGTTCATGCATCTCTGGAATGTGGCAGGGGCAAACGGCATCACTACAAACTCATAGTGGCCATAACGGGTCCTAAGAGCCATCTTGTGCTGCTCTTCGGGCTCTACCTCAATCTGATGGTAGCCCGATTTCAGATCTATCTTCGAGAAATACTTACAACCTTGCACCCTGCGGTGTTTCCCCAATCTGTGACTAGGATGGTTCTCCTCCACTAGAACGGTCAGGGAGTGTAACACTTTCTCAACTTTCTTCCCCCCCTCCAACCGGAAGTATGCTTTGATCCCTTTGACGTACTCCTCTACTCGCATTTCATGATTATTTGCCAGTTTAATCACAACCGGCTTGTTCAACTTCTGCACTTTCATGCCGAGATGCGACTTCTTCAGTCCCTTTTCACTAATATAGGTACAGGTCGATCCACTATCGACTAACGTGCCAACTCGCGTTCTACTTATCTCCATCTCCTATAATAAGCTGCTGTTTTGAGCTTTTCTTCGTTTCGGCCCAGTCTTTGCGACAACTGATCAGTTCATCGCCTATGCCTCCGAGTGTGGCATACTGTGCAGCCACACGGGTCTGCAGGGCCCGACCAGACGGAAAATAAAGCCCTCCAGGCCCTGTGTCGTTTCAGCCTAAAAGCCTGAAAACGAGGGCCATTTTCAGGCCATCAAGACCTGCCCTGAAACTGAGGCACCAGACCAGGGTTTTGGCACAGGCCATTTTTGGGCCTGTTTCAAGACAACCTTTGTTTGAACTTCAGCGCCAGGGTCTGGCACATTCCGGCATTGGCAAGAGCAGCCTAACGGCCGGACCAGCACTATATAGGACTGGTCCGCCCTGCAGGCTGCAGGTAGCTCATAGGGACTTCCCAGGCAGTTCACGGGCACTTCACGTGCAGGATGCAGGAGGCAGTCTTCAGGATTCGGCAGCAGCACTCTGGAGGAGCGCTGCAGTAGTAGTAGTAGCATTAGGAGTAGTCTTCATCGCTGGGCGCTAGTAGGAGCTAGAGTAGCATTGGAGAGAAAGAGAGAGAGTTGGCGGAGGCCAGGGAGACTTACCTGTGGCGCCATAGCTCCAGCTTCGTCTTCGATGTACCCGCAACGAGGCGCCACCTTCACTGGTTAGTACCGGACTCACAGAGAGAGAGAGAGAGAGAGAGAGAGAGAGAGAGAGAGAGAGAGAGAGTTCTTCTTCTTCCTCGTCTAAGTCCACCATCTCTCCCTCACCCTCTCGCCACCTGACTTCTCAATATCTGCGGACTACGAGAGAGAGAGACAGATTGGCAACGTTGGGACTTGACGACATTTGGATCCAGACTCGACATTGGGATTGAGACATTGGACGAGGGATTATTTGGGACCTGTACCGAAGACTTCGTGTTGACGACATTCCCATCTTCCCCTCTTCTTCGTCTGTGTATGGTTGGGGACTGACGCATTCTTCCTGTGTGAGCGCCAGCCCCTTTCACACCATGGAATGATGATATGATGTGTGTTTGGTCTGCATTGCGACATTGATTGGTCTGATCATTGGTATATGTTTGGCCTTCCGCTGCGCTATCTTGTACTATGTGAGAGAGGTCGGTTCTTGTTCTGGTCTGCACCTTTGCGGTATGCGACAGTTTGGTATCGGGGTGGACCTCTCAATCAGAGGATCCGCCCAATCAAGAAACCATCTTGCTTGATCGATTGATTGAGTGATTGCTTATTAGTGAATCAAGTAGGACTTCGTCAAATCTCTGCAATTTTTTTTTCTCTTTTTCGCAACATCGGATATTAGCATGTCGTTTTCTGTTTTACTCTGGGCATACTAGGTGAACTAGGGAGGTTGTCATATTCTTGGAC